TTTCAAAAATTATTAAATAAAATTTAAGTGATGACAATAAGGCAGCCAGTGATGAAAATCTTGGCATATGACGATATGCATGTCAACATAGTATTCAACAACCATATACAAAATTATGTTTTCCTACTATTGTGTATCCCTATTTTCATTTTAAAATGTATTTCAAGAGTTTCTGATTAGTGCAGAATACTGATTACAAGAATCTCAGACACGCAGAATGTCAAACCTAAACTTATCTGAAGCTCATAGAAGCTTAAACTAAAAGAGCAATTAGAAGATTTCACTCTGACAAGAAAAATTGTGGCATTTCGATGTGGAGAGCTCTCATCTTAACGTCTCATTAAACTTGTAGTAAAATGTAATAACCAGAGATTAATTTGCATGCTGCTCTTTTTATTGCTATCTTTTTCATCCCAATGCCAGATCCCTTACAAAGCCATCCCATTTCAAGGAAGTTGTCCTAACCCAACTTGTTTTACAAATCTCACACCTGGAAGATTTTTTTTCCCGCCCTCTCGTTACTGTCCTTGTGCTCGCCACACTCCATAGGCATTACATTGGTTTCCCTCTCCTCCCCCTAATAGAAATGCAGCCATTTGGAACGTAGGGGTTCCTTGGAAATTCCCAAAGTGGTGCAACAATCTTCCACCCAGACCAGCTGTAAATAACAGTTATGTCACAGATGACTTGAGTTGCAGTCCATCTGTGAAAATGTAGACCGGTTTGAATTTTTCCTTTTGGTTTCCCATTTGTCTATTACCCAAAAGTGTTTGCATCTTAGTGGGGGATTTCAATGGCAGCATGTATTTTTCCTGAAGGATGATAAATTTATCCTGAAGGATGATTTCCTGTTTGTTGCTATTTACCTTCCCTGGATATTTGCTCTCACCATCCATGTTTGAATTCATGCTTCTTCAGTAAAAGTAGGTCAGAATCAGCGGGCTTGGTATCCATAGCTTGGACATAGCCTTTGCGTCACTGCTCTGGATGTGTCCCCTGATTCGGTTACTATGAGGAGATGGCAGCAGCTGTGCATTTGCAGTGGAACAAGCTGTGCCCATGGATTAGTAATTAGAAACAAGCAAAGAAAAAAAAAGAGTGGGAGAGAAAAGACATGATTACTACTTGATGTACATTAGGTCAAATTTCTTTGCAGGTATTTTTTTGCCAACACATATCATTGAACATTAATGTGAGTGAGCATGACCATGCCCCATGCTTTTACACATCCTAAAAATACCTTAAACCTTTCCCTGCTTTTCTCACCCACCTATCACCTCCATTCTGCATCTATTTTCTCCCACTTCTTGATTACTCTATTTTGTTCATTTTATTGTTCTTATTTTAAGTTTTTACTTTCTCTCTCTTACTCACTGTAATACATTTGTCCAACTTACAAAGAGGGCAGCGGAAGGAAGTAGCGGAGGAGAGGCGTGTGTCGGAGTCAGAGAGCGCCTGCTCCAGCTGGAGTCAATATTTGCTTTAGGAATCTCAATAACAGGCCCACAGTCATCTGCATCTCTGATAATGGACCGCCATATGGCTCTGTTGACCCACGCTGTGCTCAGGCTCTCTCTCTGTCCCCATCCCTTCTTGTTTTTCATTTATCGGCTTCCCTGAAAGTCGTTTCATCAAGACCCTTCCTTCCTTCTGTATTATTTTTTCCCCCTCTCCACTTGTCCCCTCTCTAGGTACATTTTGTTTTTTATTTTTTTATTTTTTACAAGCTTCTTTTCTTTCTGTCCATCATCCACTAAACCCTGGACATGACCCACCACACAGAGCTGTGACCCATGTTACCATAGCAGCAGGGCCTGGGATGCCCACTCTTTGTCCAGCACAGTTTCCAGCAAGTGACAGAAAACAGTGACGTTGCATGTCTGGAAGACGGATAAAGAGCACATTAGGAAGTGCTTTTACGTGCTTAAAGTCATGCTGCTCTACTGTGAGGAACAATCAATTAGTCACACCATATTATTTGGCAGCTTTTAGAGCTTTTATACAGCCAATACATACTTTTGAGTATTTTTACTCTGTCTTCTTCCATTTTAAAGTGTAAAATAAAAGCTTTTATTTTTATGGTGTCTTAATGTTTAAATTTTGTATTTCTCTGACACTTTTCTGGGACAGTCTTTTGCAACTTATTGTCTCCACAAGAATGGATGTTCCTATCAGCTCTGACCTTCTTTGTTTTATGCCATTGGATGTAAAGTCTACTGCAGAACAAAATTTCTTTTTGCGTTCTACTGACAATGGCTTTCTTCAGTTCAATTTTACATGAAAGCCAGATTTATAGAGCACATAACGAATAGCTGTCCTGTCATTACACTGAGTCGTGGATCTCTGCAGCTCGTTCAGAGTCAAGTTTTTAGCTGATTCTGAAAAACGGCATCCATTTAGGTGGACAGATATGTGTTGGTAAGTTTTCAGTTGTGCAATACTCTGGGTTTTGGGACAATAGATGGCATGCCCTTCTTTATGATGTTAAAATCTTGGAATATTGCTTTGTAATCCTGCCCTTGAAACAGTTAAACTTTATTTAGGAATATCAGAGTAAAGGGGTTAATTTTAGTTTTGAAAATATGTCTTTTCACTATGAAATGAGAAGATTATTCAAAGTTGGTGTCTGATATCTACATAAATAGATAAATGTGTTTGCAAGGTACGGTGTATTTTTTTCAATGACATTATTTTTCAGGAACATGCTCTCCTACCTCATCCTTTGTCTTATTCTGCCCTCTGTCCAGTTTTTATCCGTTACCCTGAACAGCTTGGCTGTCGTACCCGCTGGTGTGTCTCTGCACAGGTGCCCGTCATCTCTGCTTCGCCATGGTTCCCCTCAAAGCCATTGGTCATGGCTGCCTTGGCCCCTGCTGTGGCGGCATGTGCCCACTACAGGCTTCCTGCCCAGTGACTGTCTTGTCCTATCTATCTAACCCAGACCACAGCCCCTCGGCCCAGTCCAGCCTATCTCAGCTTAGCCTGGTTCATCCTTGGCGTCCACTTCAACCTAGTTTCACTCTACCCAGGCTGTCATAATGAGATGGGGGAGGAGGGCATCAGTGTTCAATAACTGCGGCTTTGTCTGCTTGGGAGTTCATGCGTTTGTCAAGCAATTTGTCAGGCATTGTTTGAGAAGAAAACATGGTCACAGAGAGTAGTCCGACTCATTCTCGGATATTCGCTCACCCACACATTGTTAAATCTCGGGGTACTTACTGTCATCATGGCATCAAATAGCCCTTTTTTCCCCAATGGTTCCCTTCACCATATTTTATCCCAGACTTCCTTCCATTCCACAACAGACTTAGCAGGATATATCTATGATAATGATATGATAATAGCTATCAGAATGTTTTTCCACCCTCACCCAGAAGCCATTTTGGAGGCTTATTTATCTATTTATTTATTGGAGTTTCCTCCATTCCAAATCCAGGCATCCATCCTGCATGCTGGCTGCCCAGGCCTCGGTCGCTGCTTGTCACTCTGAATTTCAAATGGCTCCAATTTTCCCCCTGATGGCACGGAGAAGTGGCAGGCAGCACATCGGGGAGGGTGGTCCTAGACATGCTGCCTGCAGCAGGGGTTCTATTAGAGAGAGGAGAGGGATGAGAGTAGGTAGAGGAGAGCTTTTCAGCATCACGCCAGCATTGATGTATTCTTTTTTATGATTATTTTGGAGACTGCATTCTCATTTGGGGCTATGTGGCATGGCTGATTGTTCCATTTCTGCTTCTGGCTGGAATGATGATGATGGGGCTGTCTGGTCCAACATAAGCTAAATCACACTATCACAGTGTTTTATGAAGCAACTATCAGTCAGTTTAAATGACTTTAAGAACAATAATTCATATATTACCAAGCTTAAATAATAATTAATCAGTAAACTTAGTCTCTGAAAAGGTAACCTTTTCTTTCACACAGGAAAGATGAGTAATTGTCATGGGAACAAATACTGTAAAATCTTGTAATAATGGATCATTGCCTATCTTTTATTAATTGACCAGATAAAGCAAAGAAACCCAGTATAACTAAGGAGCAAGAACAAATCTAAAACATAGCACAATATAAATGTTAACTATAAACTTCTTTTGATTGAGTTAACAATAGATGGAGAGTGTTTTCAATAAGACACTGATTAAAGCCATAAAACTTCTGCAGTTTTTTTAGAGTCTCGGATTATCATTTTACAGCATCTAACACGATGCTGTAAATTAAAGATTTAGATACTTTTTATTTTCTCATCTGAGATGAAAGATTCCGATGGAAAAAATGTTGGAGCAAATTTTAATTTTACTGAATGGATTATTTTTGGCCAACACAGGAGGTAACGAGCTGACGGGACTCTCAGATCAGCCATCAGATTTTCTTCCAGATGCTAGAGAGTCGCAGAAATGAGACTTTAGGAAAGTATTTTCCTTTTTACCTAAAACTTTGTTACTAAGACAACAACAACTTAGAAGTTGAAGAATTTGGGATCACAGAACCAAATTGGTGTGATAACTTAAACCCATGCGCCTCCCACACATGCACACCATTCTGTGTCTTGATTTTCCAGTTGATCTCCAGGCTCAGAACATGTTCCTGAGTACATGTGAAGATGAATATACATGTATGTGCGTAGACACTTTTGTCTTTTTCCTGTGCATCCAACAATATCTATGACCTTTAGTATTGTCGTAGTCGTCTGTGTGTGGTGTGAGTTTCCTGCTGTAAAATGTCATTAAAAAAGCTATGTAATAATTGCAAAGGGGAAACTCTTGACACTAATGCATTGTTGCAGACATTGTTTGCAGTATATTGAGCATATCTTACATTTATCTGTGTCTAATATAGAAATTAATCTTTTTCTCCTCTGCACAGGAAATTATGGATTTATTGACTTCAGGAGTTGTTTCATGTAAATGAATGTATAAAAAAAACTTGAAGCATATACCAGTTGCTTTTGTTTTGGTTTTTTCCTACACATACTGTTTGCTCCTTTAACGAGTTGCCGCCAGCTACGAAGAGCGAGCACTCTACTTGGAGGCCATTGTTCAGAACCACAGAGAGGTCATGACCTTTGAAGACTTTGCTTCGCAGGTCTTCTCTCCCTCCCCGTCCTATTCTGCGAGCGGAACAGGTGAGAAATAAACAAAACTCCCCTTCGGTTCATCTCATTGCTGCATCATTTGTCTCCTGTTTTTTCCTCTTCTTTCTTTGTTTGTTTTCTTGGCTCCTTTGCTACATTACTCTCCCCTCCTTCACAACACACCTGTTTGCCCCCTTCTCCCTCCCCTCCACTCTTCTTCAACGCCTACGCTCACTGATGAATATCAAACGACAAGCCCTGGCTCTTCATGCGCTCCGACTGACTTCAAACACACTGCTTTCTCCACTTCCTCAAGCCCCACTCATGCTACTTTGTTCATCCCTTCTTTTTTTTTTTCAAACTGCATCTTTCCATGCAATTACTTCCCCCATGAATATAAGCAGCCTCTTAAATGCCAGTTGCAGAGTGCCTGTTTGTGTTTATGTCTGTGTGTGTTTCCTCATGAGCTCAGTCACTAACACTTAAAAGATCTGACCGACAAACAGCAGCTCGCGGATGTCAGCACAGCCCTCTTATCAGTCCGTGATGAATAGAATGGAAATCGTGTCTTATCTTGTTCTTCCTCCTTGTAGCAGCTCTGATCGATCTGCAGCCGCCCTGAAATCAATACAAGATTGCACTTTTCTACTCTATTGGATCCCGACACACATTCTGTTTTGACAAGGAAAGCACTTCACAATACCACACCACAGATGCCTTGTCATTTTCAGATATGTCTGGGCTTATACGTATTAATGGTGTTTTAGCGTGCGTGCAGTGTGTTTACTATGAGTGGGAACAAGTGAAAATTAACTGCCGTCTATTTTCCAGTGTTTCCGCCAGTGTGATGGACTTTTAAAAAGGAGCAGGTGTGACATTCAGGCAGGCAAGAAGTTGTCAGTCACATTTCCATATCGTCGGCTGCTCCTTCCTGCAGAGGTGCTAAATCTCCTTCAGCAGCAAGAAAAAAATACCCACACATCAAACGAAAACACATTTCTTTACAGCGTTAAAACATATTTACATGTTTTAAAAGGATTGTCTAAAAAAATCAGTAATTATATCATGTTTTAAATTTACATATGTTCGAAATCCCCGCATAAAATCTTATTTACACATAATCATAACACAATAATAAAAAGTGAAATCACAAAAACCAGATGTTAATTTAGTTAATTCTTCCATTAAAATCACAAACTGTCAAAGTGCAAAATATTTAATCAGAATTTTTTATTTTTTTGATAAACAGGTACAAAGTGCTACATATTTGTGAAATAGAAAAAGATACCTGGTTGTCAAATTACAGATACAGTTTTAAAAGTGTGGCATGCCTTTGTTTTTTGCCCACCTTGTAGAGGACATGGTTCTGTCAATTTTGGTGTGTCACCCACTTCCTGACACAGCAAACCAGACCCAGTCTTATCACGCTACCACCATTTTTAACCATGTTGATTATTCTCTCTTTTTTGAAATGCTGTTAAATGTATTAGGATTCACACCTTCCTAAAAGTTCCACTTTTGTCTCACCATTTTCTCAAAGTCTTGTGAATCATCAAGTTGATTTTTGGAAATGATGTAATGGACTTTTTTGTTGATTTTGATCAGAAATGGCTTTGGCCTTGGAAATCACATAGATTCTGTTTCTGTATATTAAGCACTGAACTTAAGCATTGCAGATGCACAACGTCTGCAGTGCTGAAGATCTTGTTTTGAGTTCTTCAGTGACCTCCTAGCATTGACACCCTCTTGGAGCATTTTTGATTATCCAGCTTTTTCTGGTTAATTTCACGTTTCTTCCATGTTTTCTCCATTTTTGGAAAGCGACTCATTCTTTCATTCACAGGAGTCCAAACTTTTGGACTGTTGAGGATTTGGACTGTTGAGGATTTTCTCATTTATATGTTTCTTTTACAGATTTTTTTAGCTGACTCAAGTGATTTGGTAATTCTTCAAGTCAGACAGAAATCAGACCAGACAAAGAAATTTATTGATAAATTTCAGGGGCACTATCTCTTCTGTTTCACATATGAACAAGTTGTTTCTGATAGATTTTTTTCCTTAATAAATGAACCATCATTTTATATTTACATTTGACAAAAAAATTATAAAGAGGACTGTTGGAAACATAACTATTACCAGGCAAGTTTGTATAGATTTTACACCCAACTCCTACATAAGCATTGCATGTGATCTACATGGAGGTAAAAACTTGTCTTAAAATTGCTCATTAATTATCCACCTAAAATGCTGACTTCTCAGTTCTGAGAACCCTCAACACCATGCAAGGCTTATAACTTTGTATATTATTTCATTTAACTGTGTTAGCTGGCTGACCGCTCTCCGTCTCACTCTCCTGTACACTGCTCTCCAGTTTCTTTCAATGCGCAGGGCTGTGTTTATATGCAACTTTGTCCTCCCCATCTGCTTGTCTGTCCATCCTGCTATGGCTGCCATTGCTGCCACTAACATGTCATCCATCCTCCATGACAGCGTGCAGGCGTTGGCCGGGGATGGTTTGGGACATGGAGTACCCCTGGGCCAAGCTGGACTGTAAGACTGCCTGTTTCCTTCATATTTGGCATGGCGTTCAGCCCATTGACATCCCCCCTTCAGTCGTTTGATCCTGACATCATCAGATCCCTAGAGGCTGCGTTTCATTTCTGTTGATGCATCCAGGTTTTGATTCCAAGCTCAGGTCCTGCATGCTGATTTGAACATTACGAACATAACATACAGTCCCGTGCAAAATTATTCATACCATTTTAGTTTTTTTATATTTTGCCACAATACAACTTCAAACTTCATTGTATTTTATAGTCGAAATATATATGTATGAAGTGGAAGATAAAGAATACACAGCATTCAGATTGTTTTTTTATGGATGTGTACTTGGCACCGAGAGTCAGTACTTTGTAGAACCAACAATTTGTGCACTTAGAGCTGCAAGCCTTTTGGGATCAGTCTCTAACAGCTATGCAGATGTAAAGACCTAAGTTTTTATTTTTTGATCCCTGGTCAGATTGGATGGAAAGAATCTGTGAATGATTTTTTAGGCCTTGACAAAGTTTCTCAATTAGAATTAAGTTTAAATGTCGACTGAGTCGTCTAAATGTATGAACGTGGCTTCGCCGTTTTATCTCTGGCTGTATGATTAGAATCATTTTCATGCTTTAAAGTAAACCTCTGTCTTAGTTTTTTTGCTACCTGTAACAGGCTTTTGTTTGAGGATTGCTCTGTGTTTTGCCCCTTTCAGCTTCCCTGACCTGCCATGTTTCACTGCAGGAACAGTGTGTTTAAGGCGAAATGCAGTGATGACTTTTTCACCATGCATTTAATATTGGTTTCACTTGACCACAGCACTTTCTTCCACTTCATTGCTGTATGTTCTATGCATACCAAACTTTAAACATTCTTTTATAAAGTTTTTCTTCTACCTACTCCTTTATGAAGGTCAAACTTAAATATACGCAATTAATAATTGTCCCAATTGATTGCACTGGATTTTACTTACAGGTGTTGATGTATATTGATTTTATTATTTTTTTTGCATAAAATTTTAGTTAAATTTTGGAGTGGTTGTAATGTGGAAAAATGTGGAGAAAGTTAAATTGGAATGAATATTTCCGTAAACCTTAGCCCACATTCATCCTTTACTTTACTGCAGCTGCTGTTATCCTCAATGTAACTTCACTCTCACCACGCAGCTTCTGTGCAACATCATGGCTTCCTGCATGAGCCAGTCCATCTATCCCACAAACTCTCTATCAGTGCGTTACACTTTCCACTGCTTTCCTTTGCTCTTTTGCTGTTTTTTTTTTTTTTTGTGTGTGTGTGTTTTTTCGTTTTGTGGTCATTTGCCGTACTTCTTAAAATGATTAACGGCAGCAGAGGAGAAATAAAGGCTCTTTCAGGATGAAACTACATAAAAGCTGCCGTGACCCTTTGAGGTGCCCCAGCATCTTTTGCTTTTTCACCCAAACTCCTTTTCTACTCGTAACATTGGTGGTAAATGTTTCTAAGTCTGTTGTTTCCATGTGAACTGCGCACCGTTTGTGCACTGGCTTTCAAAATGTTCTTTTTTTTTCCAAATCTGTGTTATTGGGCAGCATCAAACATGACGGTACCTTCAGAGAAATCCCACTTGTTCATTACCTCATTATCCAGAATTGGTTAACCCCCTCTTTCTTTAAAGCTCCGAGTTACAACTAATCACAACACCACACATGCTACCTGAAGCTCCATCCATTCAACTCCTGTGAATCATTCAAAAATATTTATTTTCAGCGGCAATGTGTTGCGTTCAGTTTTTCTGGTGTTTCCACTTTTTTTCCCTCACAAATGAATATGTACTCTGTTTTTCCTTTTTAGATTAACACAAATATGTTAAAGGTCCAAATGCTAGATGTGGTGAAGGTAAGCCAAAGTCGGACTGGAAGCTTGTTTCGGTCCAGCTGCTTTACCTACCCTTCACTCACCCTGACTGTTTTTACCCAAGCCGCTCTTCTTTTTAAATTCAGTACTAACCAAGCTTTATTTACTGAATGCGCTTCAGAATGGGAAAAGAAAGAGAAACCGGGCTGTTTATTTGGGGGTGTCCTACTGTTTAGGCCAGGCTGGTAATTGAGAGCGATGTACGGTGGCGACAATTAGCACCTGACTAAGTAGCAGCATGAACAATAAAGCTACACTTCTGGCCCTTGCTTCTGCATGTGGTGCGCCTTTATCTCTTCCCCCTGCAAACACTTTTCTCTTTTCTTTCATTCTCTTTTTTTTTAACCCCCCCCCTCCCCCCCTCATTTCCTCCTGTTGGAGTGTGCCTGTTTGCCTGGGGCATACTCTGAGACTAACACCTGCCGCACTGGAAGACGTCTTTGTCATCTAAAGCCTTGTTTGAACTGCTGCACTGGGGACCAATGGGAGTGCAGGACCATTTAAAGGGTCCCTTTTTTATCTCTTTACCCTTTTTTTTCAATCTTTCTTCTTTCCTCCTAAAACAAACGAGACTGCAAGGGTGTGGGAGGCTAAATGTGTGGGTTCAAAACAAAGAAATGTATACAGTCAGAAAACACAATTCCTCCTGATTAAAGATATTTTGCTATAATACCGTTCGCTGTAAACATAAGTCTGAGACAAATTCAGCTGTAGGCATGGCTGGTAAAAAATCCTTACAGTTCAACCTGGAGTAAAACTACCATTACTTCCTGATATTTAACCAATAATCTGTTGCTTGTATGTAGTGAATTTCTTTGTTCAAGAGATAAAAGCATCAGGTATTCCTTCTGCTGCTAATGTAATTGACTATTACCTGTTAACGGGACGGTTACTGTAAACTGAGGGTTTAAGAATGTGAAGTTTTGAAGCTGGTAAAATTTGACATCAGCTTCACAGGTTAAAGTCAGAGACACCACAAAAAATCCTGAAGTGATCAGTTTTCTCCAGAAATATAGAGCCATAGGGGAAAAAAACAGCATTGCCTTTTCCCCATTTGTTACTGCCAGTCAGCTGGCTGAAAGAATGTTTTCCTTTTTTTCATTTTCAAACTGACAGAAAACTGATTCTTTCACACTTGCAGTTGTAAAAGAGATAAAAGGAAATAGTGTAGTCGTTTTCTTTCAATCAGCTGACTGGCAGTGCACAGCATCAAATGGGGAGTGGTTCAGGGCTGCATCACTTTATCCTTCATAAAGCCAAAGAAAACTCATCAGTCCAGCATTTTTTCTTCTATCTGAAAGGATTTAAAGCCTTTGATGTGTTGGAAAACTTCAGCAGCTTTCAACCATAATTTTTTCAAACATTGGTACTATTATTATTATTATTATTATTATTATTATTATTATTATTATTATTCACTGCTGGAATGAACGTCTTCCAGATTATAGGAATGCAAAACCTCCCCAGTACACTGCTTCAGCCAAGCTTGTCCCTCTTTTACATTTAAATGCCAAATTTTCAGAATCCAGTTTCACCTCCCCTCCTGTAGCCCGGCACAATGCTCACACCCAGCGTTCAACCCGCAGCCCGGTCTCCTCTCCCAGCGACCTGCAGCGCTGGATGCTGCTGGTGTCCACTGTGCTGGCTGTGTCTGTTATTCCTGCCATCTGCCATTCCTTTTAGCCGCTGCAACTTGAGATGCCTCGGAAAAATGGCAGGAAATAAAAGGATAGGAAAGAAAATAGGCAAGCAGATGCCATCCCAACAAAGCAGAAAAGTTGTTTAAACGGGCGGAGGGGGGAGGCCCCCTCACCCCCAGTAGTTTGGATTTGGTCGGGGGCGCAGCGAGGAAGTCGATGTTCACAATACTTGATTGTCCTCAGTGGCATTATTACCGTTAGTCGTCCCATAATCACTGATGGGAACTTATTTTTTTTGCTGAAAAATGACAAGGTGCCACAATGGGAAAGCTCCAATATTCACAATAAGAGTGTAATGTGTAATTTTGTTTTCATTCAGAGCATTTTGCCATCACGCTGTGAACTGGATGCTTTCCTTTAAGCTGGAAAGGTGGCCTTTCTTTTTGCATTATATAAGCAAGCCAAGGAGGGCGAAGAGGGGACATGGGCTTTTCTTTTAGCAAGCTTTGCTTTTCAGCAGCATGCGGGAAAAAGAAGCATGTAACTTTTAGAATGGGCTGTCTAATTCCAATTAACTTGAGTTGAAATAATTCAGATCCTAACCAGTGTTTATTTTTCTTTTTGCAGCTTCGGTTGTAGCTTTTTGAATGTTGGTGAAAATCCTACGAACTTGGTTTAATGAAGAGTCAGATGCATGACACGGCATGCTGGGATGAACATCGTACAGACAGTTTGTGTGAAGCTGCTAAACTTCTCTCTGCAAACTCTTCATCCATCTCTCTGCTAGGATCCCTCACTGGCAGCGTGAGCCCCGAAGGTGGAAACCCCATGGCGGACTCGGCCGAGCAGGTGTCTCCCACCCTCCCTCGTTCCACCAAGCAGAGAGTTTCGGGAAAACTCCGCAGATCGGCGAGCGCTATAAGCAAATCTTCAAACTAAGCTCTTCAACCTGTCCACTGTCCTCAAGAGTGAAGCCTTGAATCTGCTGTGGAAGAACCTCAAACACCCTGCCGGGACTGCAAGATTGTTATATTTTTGTCTTTTTTTTTGTGTGTGTGTCGTATAAACGTTAATTTGAGCGTGGCGTCATTTTTAATTTAAGTGGTTATTGATGATTTTTGTCTCACATTTCAGTTTGCTTTACTGGCTTAATTGAGACAGGGCACAAGATTAAACGATGTTCATCATAGGAAGACTTCAGAGTCTTAATGCAATCTGTGATCCAAGTGTGACTTTTTATTCTAAGACTAGAGCTCTTTGAAAGCGCTAGAAAAACCGATGTTCTTACTATAGTAAGGAAATGGGAGACTGCTTCAAGCTGTTTCATTGTCAGATAATTCAACATTTTATGTGAAGCACTGAATGACAGTTTGTGCTAAACTTGCACAGGAGATTGGTGTCCTTTTAGATATTTGTCTTTTACCTCTTTCCGCAGCCGCCACTGCCTTCCTGCGCCAGTTACTCCACATCCGGTGAGGTCTCAAGCTCTTGTCTTCCTCTGTAGCACCGGTTCATTCAACGTTTGTGGAAGACTGATTCCATTTTCGGAAACTTTTCCAGGTGGATACGTATGCCATTCACGACCACACCTGGGCACATGGTCTCTGTAGTGTCTGAGTTGATTTTTTTTTTTTTTCCTTTCTATTTGCTTTTTTTTCACCCCATTGTACAATCGATGGCATCCTTGTGACTTGAAATGAAATTTTTTTTTTTTTTCTTTTTACCATTCTAATTTTCCACTTTAAATGGATTCCAATAGATTTTGTCACTGTTTGATTTATGCAACTCTGCTGGAATGAGAAAAGACCACGTTTATAATCGTTATATGATGTCATTAACCTGGGCTTATGTCCGGTAATTGGATAAGTTTCCTCCTGTCTCTTTCCTCCGCCATCAGTTTGCCCTGTCCTATGATGACACTGACATTCCAACATTCCCAACCTACCAGTATGTTTTGCACTCACTCATCACTACCACTGAATGCTCCTCTTTTGTTGAGTTTGTTTGGGATTCAAGTTGCTTTCATTTGTTTGTTGTTGGTTTTTTTCCTTCTGCATTTCCTAAATTGAATGAATTGATGAATCATTTTGTTGTTGTAATATGAATCCTGTGCTGTTTAGAGGAAAAAAAAAACGCCAAACCCTCAGGTGAAACTTTACTCCATGCACTGGTGTGTGTGTGTGTGTTTGTGTGTGTAAATATGTGTGAAGTATATGACAGTTTAGTATTTTCATGTACTCGGGTCTCTCTTATGAAGCTTGTCACAATACCTGTGTAAAAAGAAATGCAGATGGGTCTCGAGACGCACCAACATGAGCTTTGTGGCTGATTTTATCACATCCAGATTTTTCTTCGAGATCTATGATACAATAGCCTTCATAGTACTTTTTCTATTCTTCCGGCTTTGACTGGTTGCTGTAAAACAAGTTTGAAAGTTGTATTTTTTATATTTTATTTTTAGAACGGCCAAATGATTGAGTTGACATTTAAACCTGGCTTTTCAGACTGAGATTAGCAATTAGCACAGTTGGTACAACTAGCATTACTAAAACCACAGACTCCTTGCATATTTCAAGAAAATGTAGATCCTTAACTCAGATTTTACAATGCAGCCAGCTTAAAAGATAAGATGATGTACATCTGGTTCTTGAGAATTGAATTATGTTTTCTCAACTTTTGGGAAGAAAAAGCTAAAAGTCCTGTTTTTTCTCATTTTCATTCATTTCAAACTGTGTTTTAAAGAGTCGCTCTTTGCTATAGAATAATCCGGTTCTGGTTTGAGCAATTGTTTTTATTTATCAAACCTAGACTCAATAAACAGTTAAATTGTCCTTTATTTATCACCACTGAGATGATTCAAAGTAGAAATAGGAGAAATAGAGTCATTTTAATATACACAAAATCTGAATGCCCTGCTGCAAATACTTTCCAAGACACAACATCCATGACAGACTGGCTGAAAGCTCAAAAGGATAAAACAAGCAACTCTTTTATGACTTCATTACTAAAGAACTTATTGAGACTGGAAAATGGCAAACTTTGAATCTTCTTTGTTCAGTAACAGCATCCACACCAAAGTGTGGTGTTGCTAGATATGGTCCACTAGAAAGTAAGGTTGCGGTTAGGGTTTGATGGACGACTGCTTCGGTTGAAAATTGCTGAAAAAGCTCATTTGTTGGTGCTTCTCTGAATTTAAGGCTTCTTTTTCCACCGTGTTGAACATTTGTTGATCATCTCGTCGGTATAATTGGTCCTGCTCCTCCATCATCTCTAAACATCCATGTCTTGTGCCTCCCACAAAAACAACAGATGGATTTCTTTTCTTTTTTTTAGCGTCTTGCTCCATCTTCATCTCAGAATGGAGTGTAAGTCACTCCTGCTCTTTCCCATGATCCTCTCTGTCTCCATGTGTCCTCCTGAGGCCCCGGCTGCCTCGGAGGGGGTTGAGTTTGGGTTAAGGTGGCGTGCCAGAGCTGAACTCTCACCAGGCCTCTTAGCAACAACCAGACCAGAAGCGCTCTCGACCTGCAAGCTCATGGTCGTCATGGCAGCCAGGTGTCCAACCCCCTCCCTCCTGCACTCACACTTTCTGAGAGCTCCACCCAAGCTGCAACACTATCCCCATCTGTTGCACTGCTATGCCTTACCGTCTTTCTCCAAGATCTCACCTCCTGTTGTTTGCTCATTCCTACAGCAGAATATGGGGAGTCCAAACATCAGGGGGTCTCGCAGAAATGTTGCTGTGCTTTTTATTTGGTTGTCTTTTTTTTTTTTTTTGAAGAATGTATGAACTTGTAGGCCTGGATCGCAACTGTGGTTTTTGTTTTTCCCCCCAAAGTCTCTCGAAGGAAAAACCGGCTATGTGGATCTAAAGATTGTAGCTTGTAGAATAATGTGTTTTAAAGGGATGTTTTGCTCCTCTTTTAGTGGCTTCGTCGCTGGAGGTGTTTGGACCAAGATTGTGTGTCTTATATTTGTGAAGAAAATGAGTTAGTTCTTAGACGTGCTATTTTTCTCTTCTCGTTTTAGAAATCCTTGTACATTGTGTCAATTTCAGGGGCCTCATTGCCCTCTTAATATAAATATATTCATGCCTGTAATATAATCTTTGTATAAGAAAGCAAAAAAAAGCTTGAAGTTTTCATCATTTGTCAACATATCAAAACTGTTTTTAATGACCGAGGTCCTGCTTTCTTCACTGGAAATGTGAAAATTGAAGCATTTCATTAAATCGTTTTTAAAATTCTACGTTTTGCTGTGTTTGACTGGGAAGTTACTAATGCAGGTTTTTAATCTGTGATGCTGCTGTCACCGTGGGCTTTCTGACCCCAGCCGGCTGTGCCATCAGCAGCAGGGGTAACCTGACCCTCCTCCCATCTGTCTCCCCTGCTGCTCAGGCCTACTTAGAGGAGGCCTGCGTAATGGAACCTCACCAGGAGGTACAGGTGCAGCGGCTGCAGCACCTACAGGTGCCCCTACCTCTCCTGGGCCAGATAAAGGCACATGAAAAAGCACTTGACCATAATTGGAGCCCTGAATCTGTATGTGTGTGGGGAACAATCCTAATGTTACCTAATTTTCACCAGGCTCGTCGTTGACTCTAGATATGTTGCAGCAGAACAGGCTGACACTGAGATTGCTGTCTTGTATTATTTCATGTCTTTGTGGTCCATTCTCAAGTTTCAAATATCTCTCCGTGTTGCAGAGGGAGAGCAATGCTAGTTAAAAAAAAAGAAAAGTTTTATTTACTTTGGACAGGTTTGGAATATTAATAAAATACAAAGTAATACTTTTAGGCACACAGTTCACTGATTTGCATTTATTTTAACTACACTTTTGTGTATTATATTTTTAACACTTTGTCACTTGTACACCTACACATCTGCAGTCTTTTGTATTGGGATTTTATGTGATCGACCAACACAAAATAGTTCATACTTGTGAAGTGGAGAAAGCATACACAGGTACAAACCTTTCAAAGTGTTGGATTTGTTTTGTATTTTAATACCCCTAAATAAAATCCGTTGCAGCCAGATGCTCAACAAGTTGCTTAACTTAACCACACCTAACTTTTCTGTGAAGTTATCAAGCTAATATTTTTTTTTAGAAAATATTAGCAAACAAATAGCAGATTAAGACAGGTCAAGGTAAAGGTTGTGCATGAGATTAAACCAGAGTTGGGTTATAAAGGGATATTACAGGGTTAGAAAAGGCTTCATAGCATTGTTCAATATATCATCCCAAAATCACAGAAGCAGCCAAGATGTCCCTGGTAACTGGAAGAGCTGCAGAGATCCACATTCATAGCTGGCCTTCATGGCTGAATGGCAACCAGAAAGCTGTTGATAGAAAGCCACGCAGTTTGTCCCGACCCATCTAGGGAACACAGCAGACATGGAAGAAGTTGCTCTGGGTAGGTGAGGTCAATGTCAAACTGTTTGACCTACGAGTAAAGCACATCATCCCTGCAGTGAAACATTGGAGTGGCAGCAAAATGGTATTGAGGCACTAGGTAGATGGAGCTTTCTGTTTATTTAGCAGCAGGACTGCAAAGATCAAAACATTCATGGCTTAATCAAAGTGCAGACCTGAATCCAATTTAGAATCTCAAGACTAACAGATTATCAGCACCCAATCTGAATAAGATTTTTTATTTTTTTTTTTTTTTTTTTTTTTTTTTTTTTTTTGCATGAAAAGAGGCAACATTCTAACTGTACCCAAAAACACTGGTCTTGCAAAATCCTGACTGGAGGGAACTGAATTACAAATCCATGCCTCGCTTAGTATATTTTCCTTCCGCAACATGTTTATGCTGTACTCTGTCCTCTTTGGCTGAAATGTGACGAAATCTAAAAACCCCAAAGCTTAGGAGCGTTTTTAATGTCCTGAAACTGAACATGAGCGCAACTTCAAAAACTTCAAGGCGTTTAAGTTTCAATTGACCCGTCTGACGTCGAGCTTTACGTTTCCTGCCAGGATGGATCTAAAGTCAGTAGTGGACCTGATGAATCATAAATCGTCTTGCAACTCAGAAAAAAAAGGGGGAAAAAAAAGTTTATTTCTCTCTCTTTGTTTTTTATGTTTTGTTTTTTTTTTCTTCAAGAAGCAGACAGATGTTTTACTGCTCCAGAGGTGAGCTCTGATCCACCACCTCCTTTGTCCCGCTGTCATGTCCTGACATGGTATTAAAGGCAGGAGGGGATTTATGATGAGGCTCTAAGTGCTCCTCTCCTCTCTTGAGCCTCTGCAGCGATGATTTACAGAAAGTCGCTCTGATGAACGCGCAGGTTCGGTTCCGACGTCAGTGATTCACGGGGAGAGTGTCCGCGCGACGGACTCAACTTTGAAAAGCTCTGAAAGTGGGAAACCTACAAATGGAAATAAAAATCTATTCGCTGCCCTATAACTGGTGAATGACTCGGACCTATTCGATTAAATAAGTTTGCGAACTCCTTGATTCGATCGTCCTGGTCCGCGCGCGGGAGGAAACCATCGATTAAATTAAAAAAAATAAGTTAGGATTAAGTTGATGTCATTTCTAAAAGTTTATGTTTTCTTTGGATTGTTATGCTTTAATATTTGAAGTGAGAGGGTGCTCACAGAACATCAAAAATAGGCTATATATAATTTGGGTTGGTTAAGTACATTTATTCCAGCAAAAATATATATTTGTTTTTTTCTTTTCTTAAAGGAAGTTGTGTGAAAAAGTTCAAGCAGTCAGTGCGTCTTTTTGAAAATATTTTTTTTATTATTATTTCGATAGACACCAACGATGTACACATACAATCAAAGCGCTATAAAAGCCAACATTTAAGAAAAATAACTTGTCCTTAAAAAAGATTGCATCTAAGGTAAGAGCTTTACGTTTTTCTTTTTTATTATTATTATTATTATTTTTGAAAACACAAGAGCTGTGAAGATTGATGATTAAAACCCGACCCACCACAATTATCACAACTAATAAATAAAAGACAGCAACCAAAATAATAATAATAATAATAATAATAATAATAATAATAATAATAATAATAATAATAATAATAATAATAATAATAATAATTGAAAGACATTTGGCTACACGACATGTAAACTGCCAGAACGATTCACAGGGGAGGGGAAAAAAAGGAAAGAAATCACAACAATAAGTTACATAAAATAATTAGAATAAATAAATAAATATGATGGAAAAAATATTGCAACAATCTTCAATAATAATAATAATAACGATGATGATACCAATAATAATAAATCGAATAAAATATGTGCCAGCATTCAAAATTAAAACAATCTATGTTGACTTTTTTTTTTCTTAAGGCAGTTATACAGCAGGATTTGGATGTGTATGCAGGCTATTCAAGACTAGGCTTTCTTCTGTTTACTAAAGGCATTTGTGGTTCTACTAAACTGGGGAAAAAAAATCTTCAGTCACACTTTTTTTTCCCCACCAAGACAAAGTTGATAAAGTTCTGTCCTCCACAAACAAGCGTAAAGCTACAGTGACAGAGCAATCACGGTCGGTGAATTCAACAGACTTTGATGGGGAGAAAAAAAAAAGATTTCTGAGATTTTTTTTCTTTTTTTTTTAAAGACATTTCTTAGGTCTAGAAGCTATCATTGAGCATGTGCTGTGCTAGAAAAATACCCTTTAACAGTCAAACTAACGCTTTGTATTCATTTTCCCCCTCTTGATAAACTAATTTGAGAAATCAAATCTCAAAATAGGCCTATTGGTAAAGTAAATATCGAGACAAGCATTCAACAATCACTGATTGGCATGAAAAAGACACCACTTAAACATCGAACAGCCCTGCCTTTCATTGGCCTAAAGTTATGGCAGTGGGCAACTTTTTTATTATTTTCTTTTTTTTTTTTCTTTTAACCCAAAGCCACTTTTTTGTTTCTATTTTTTTTTTCATTATCATTATTTTTTTGTTTGTTTTTGTTTTTCCCTCATCAAAGGCACAAGTTCTGCGTTGTCTTCAGCAGGCAGGGCGCACCGGCATCTGCAGCAGGATCACCTGCCTGTTCTCCGAGGGGTGGCACTTGTTTATGTGCCTGGTGAGCCCCGGTGAGCTGGGGAGGGTGGCGGGGCAGTATTTGCACGGGTAGATCTGGGAGGGGTGCATGAGGCGCAGGTGTCTCTCCTGGCCGGCCCTGCTGGTGAAACTCTCCCCGCACATCGTGCACAGCAGGCAGTCCACCGGGCTCAGATTCAGGGGGCTTTGGTTTGAGGCTTCCTCTGATGATGCTGAGGAAGAGCAGGAGGAGGAGGAGGAAGGGGCGGACACTGGAGCTTGCTCGGCCGCTGCACGGTCGCTGGTTTGAAAGCCGTGCTCTTCCAGTACCTTCTTCTGCAGGGCCTGGTGAGCCATGATGTGTTTTCTTAGGTACGCCTGCCGTTTGAACCTCTTCCCGCAGAACTGGCAGTCGTACGAGCCGTCTTCAGAGCCCGACTCGGACAGCCCGGGACTCGGGGTGTCTCTGTCACTCATGTCTTTGGTTTCGTCGGAGACCGCCTTGACGCCCAGCGGCTGCATTTTGGCCATGTCGGGTTTGACGCCCTGCGCAGGCGGCACCGCCGGCGCGCCGGTGCTGGTCCGCGGTTTGTGCCAGCGGCGGTGAGAGGCGAGGTTCGCCGGGCAGCTGAACATCTTGTCACACTCGGGGCACCGGTACTCGACCCTGACTATACGGGAGCATTTATGCTGAGCCAGGGAGAAGGGATCCGCGTACGCCTCTTTACACAGCTGGCACACAAACTCCCCTAAAGGTTTGGTTCCTCCGGAGGACTGCGCCCTCGGCTTCATCTCCACCGGCCCCTCTTTGATTTTCAGCCCGAGCACCGGAGAAGTGGTCACCTCGTCTTCAAAGTTGAGCTTCCTGATGGCTTTGGGTTTCTTTGAGGCGGCTTTAGGTTTTCGCTCTGCTCCCTCTGCGGCGGGTCTTTTGGTTGCGACCCGGTTGTTTGGTACTGATAGGCTGCTGCTGCTGGTGGTGCTGCTGCTGCTGGTGGTGGTGGTGGTGTTTGTGATGGCTGCGCCGCCCCGGCTGCTGTTGCTGGTGCCGATTTTCAGGTCCACCGGAGCGTACAGGAGGTGGTCCAGGCCAGAGAGCGAGGCTGCTGCGGGGAATGACTCCGCAGAAACGGGCGAGCCCAGATTGAAACTTCGCTCAAAATATCCCCTGTCGTGCTCCTTGCTGATGGGTCGGGTGGGGCTGTAGATGGCTTGGCACGCCGCTTCTGGATTGCCGAACTGCTCCGGCTTTTCCAGCCTTGGCACCGGCGCGTCGGCTGCGACGAAATCTGGTGATACCGAGGCGCGGTCAGGGCTTGACGCCACGGACATCGGCGGGGAGGGGTCCGTCTGACTTGGCAAGGCAGCTGGGGTGTGTAGCTCCTGGAGATCATCCTCATCAGATCGAGTCCTGTAGGAAACATGTGCGGATTTCTTGTTTCTTTTCACCAGGAATCCTTTGGGCATCTTGGCGAGTAACAGCAGAAAGGCACTTCGGAGAGGTGGCTGAAATCTGGAGTATCCAGGTTGGTTTAAAAAATATGGCAACACCAGAATTTTAGGGACTTTTTACTCCCCTCTATATCGATCCTTCTGTTGCTGAAATGTTTTCGTCTCCAAGGCATAGCTCCACTCTTTTTATGCCGGAATGATGCTATTGTTCTCGCCCCCCCCTGTTGCAGCATCCCCGACCAATGGGATGAAACCAAGATCCCAGTGGATTTTATTGTGGGAGGGCTCTGAGCCTGGGGTCGGTGGATTTCGTTGGAGGATGTGCAGATAGCTCAGCAGATGTACTGGCGGTTTATTACATTAATGCTGCACGCACAGACTCCCTCCCCCGACCGAGGCACACGCCGGGACCCTCCTCTTTTTACGGTCTGATGGGCCCCTACACAAATGCACACGTGCCACTGCTTTGTGGCTCTCCTCTGGGGGGCCTCTGAGTCGCTAAAAGGGAAATGTCCCTCGGTGCTAAAAATCACCACGATTTGAAAATGTTTTAAAATGTAAAATCAGAAGGTTGTAAAAAATGCTTCGGAAGATTCCCTGAGATGTTGGTGAAACGTGCAGCACAAAAACAGCTTTAAAACACTCGTTCTCTATACCTCTGCGCCATCTTTACGCACCACCTTTACGCACACTCTTCGCTCGCAACTTTCATTTTTGTCCGATTTTATTTTATAATATAAGCCCCATAGAGGAGAAGTATTTCTTTTATTTAGAGGGCACGCGTCTGTCTCGGTAGTTTAACCCGACATATAAATCAGACATCTCGCTGCATACATAAGTAATAAGAAAGCCCTCTGGTCTTTGTGCACAATGGCCACGTCTGCGTGTGCGTGGATATCTTTTTTTTTTTTTTTTTCATATCGTTTCAAAGGCAAATTGACCTCTTAACTGTGAAAAAAGGACTCGCAGGCAATCTGGGCCACAGTGAGACGCGTGCTGGGCGGAATCAGCGCTGCAGACAAAGAGGAGGGCAGCAGCAGCCAAAGCTTGTAATGGGACATTCTGCACGGATGTTCAAAACCGGCGCTGCATCTACTTGTAGGAAATATATTGCTTTCCGGAAGCTAAAGTTTGTACTATTGTTACTGTAGCTGTAAAGTAGGCAAAAATAAATAAATAATAAAAAAAAGTTTTCAAATTTGACAAATTTTAAATGTTGTTGTAATAAAAGTGCTAAACTCAACTTATTTCTCTTCCTCTTTGTTCTGTTCGCGTTTCGCACATTTGCCTGAGTTTCCATGCATTGCCTTCATAAAGCAGGCCCTACATGCGACAGTGCGCCGCTTGGAAGAGGGCGCATTCTTTCCCCCTCTTTCAGTGCGCAGACCAGGGAGGAATTAATCTCCATCGTCGTTCATTGTTCCCCTCATTTGCATAAAGCTGCAGTATGACCAAGTCAAATAATTACACAATCGAAGCTGAGCCGCAGGCCTGCAGCCCCCCTTTCAATAGGCCTCTGTGTCCCAGAGCCTTCTCTCACCTGCTTGAAAACACACCGTTATGTTGGCTCCGTTCGAGTTAAATTTTACATTTGATCCTGACTAAATAATCATATTTAAGAATTAAAACTTTATGAAGTGGGAGGGGGGAGGGGGGGGAGTTTTAAATACGTTGATTTAATTGGTTGGATATCCATTCTTTAACATTTGGAGATGTTTAACCAGTTAAAAACTTAAAAGAAGTTGCTTTTGCTTCATTTAGCTCGAGTTGTTTGAAAATTTTCCTGACGCCCGTCTTCGCTCCCTCTGCTCCGATTCTTGTTGTTCTTCGACTCTGCTCGTCGATTAGTCGTGGTTTGTTGGGGCTACAAGCTTTGATGGCATTTTAACGAGTTCCTCTTTCCCTCGAGATAATTTCTGTGGGGCGCGTGGGCCCGTGTTACCAGCCTCGCATGCGCGTGTTTGCTCAGTGGCGCGTGCTGCCCCGCGCGGACGGGAAGCGAAGGCGCCTAATTAGCATACAGCTGCAGCCGTTTGTTTTCACTGCAGACCATATTCTCCAATACCTCCCCACTTGCTTCAAGATTATTATTTTGTCATTGTTATAGCTTTATTCTAAACTTTATATGATTCATCTTGTTAAGGGTTTTTGCAAATACATTTCAATAGTTATTTTTGAAAGGTTGTTTTACTTCAGATTCAAAAAGTGAAACTGACATAAAATGACATATTTAATGCGGCTACTTCCATTCTTTTAGAGGATTATGACTTCTAGTTTATGAACATTCAAAATGTATTCTTATAAGAAATTGGAGCAAAACTTCAGACCAGGTTAAAAACTGTGGTTTTGATACAACATGTTAATGATTGTCCAGCAAATCATTAACATGACAGCCCCCACAAGGAGGATGAACAACTGAAGGTCAGTGCTGAAGCTGGATTGTTCAGAGAGGAGCGTACTCATTGAAAGTTTAGTGGAAGAAGAAAGTGTCATTGGAAAAGGTTGGGCACAGCCTAGAGAGAAATGTTAATTAAAGCCCAAGAGGTTGGAGGCATTAGACTGGAGTCACTGCTTAAAGAACCAACACACAGAGACACGAGTGTTTTGCATGTGTTGTGTTGGACAAAACCACTGTTGCCCAGTGGTCCAAAGTTCCCTTTTCAGATGAATGTACATTTTTATATCTCATTTATAAAATCGAGGTTCTGGCCTGTTTGAGGTCCTCCATCATCTGCAGTTTTGTCTGACTGTGTTTTAGCAATTCCCAAGTTATGTTTCCATCATTGCCTCCATGGGATGCTGTACACGACATGGATCAACTTATCAGGAGGCCCACATTCTTTTATAATTTGTTTTATGTGTTTAGCAAAATTGAAATATTGAAGTTCTGTGTTTTTATTATCTGTAAGTCATAACTACTGAAATGAAGCGAAATCGAATCAGTTAAGCACATCTCTGTACGTTTCTGTTTTACCGATTTAGTTTTTGAAATAAAGTAAGTTTTCAATTATCATTAAAAATACATATGTATGTATATATATATATGTAAACAAACAACATATTTTTCAACACTAGACCTACTTCTAAACCCCTGTGCAATTTGCAGATGGGGCTCATGCTGTTACGGCTCCGATGCTTGAAGAGCCGTCAGAGAGCAGAAGTTACTTCATTGCACCACCTGCAGGAGGAAGAATTAATCTTGGGGACAACAGGAACGTTCTCCTCCTGTGACTGAAGGTTTCAACACAAACATTTCTGCAAACACCGTGCTGCAGACGCTGTTAAACATTAACTTCGGTGCAGTGGGGATGCCTGTTCTTACAGAAGCGCTCTACTTCCCACATGAGTGATTGCCTCCATGTGCTGCGCCAAACTGAGACAATTTGAAAGTGCAACAGGACATGACTGTAATTGGTGCTCACTACAGGACCACTTTCAATGCTCCGTCAATCAATTATTGTAATGGATTATCTGAGGTCCTATTCTGGCTGCTCGTAATCTGATACAGGGCTCTTTCAGCACCATGGAGAGAGCCAGCGAGGGATCCAGATTTAATCACGCTGGCTTTGAACACAGCACAGCCTCGGCCTCTGCCTTTGTCCACTCCAAAACTAGGACTAGAAAAGAGCCAGCTAAGGAGAAACAATAGGAGTGTAGCACAAAAGCGCCAGTGTAATGAACCAATTGGTTTTTGAATATAGTTTTAAAGCGCAATTAGTCTTGTTGCACTGATGGACGACACCTCCAAATGATCTAACAAGATTTTGGAGCCAAAATGAGTCAAATTCTTCTTACTGTTTTTAACTGTGATCAATACATCAATTCCTTCAGTTAGCTTACTGTCAAATAAGCTAACTGAAATCGCATTTACAAAGCCCTGCAAAAGTATTCACAGCCCTTGAGCATCTTCACATTTTGTCGTTTTAAAGCCACAAATCATATTGTGTTTTATTGGGATTTTAAATGATAAACCAACATGAAGTGGTGTGTTTTTAGAAAGCGGAAGGAAAATGAAACAGGTTTTCGAAAGTTATTTAAAGTGAGAATGGGGTAAATAGAGACCGTCTAGTGTTACTAGAGAGTGAGTGTGAATGTCAGTATAAATCCACATTGTTTGTAAAACTCAGGAGTTTGTTACAGAAAATTAGTAAATAAATTGAAAAGTTTAAAGCAGTATTGAGTTATAAAACCATATTCTAAAATCTCAATGAGAACTCTTGAATCTATTGCCTGAAAATAAAAAAGTATATATGGTTTAACTAAAAACCTACAAACACATGGCCACCCAAACTGACAATCTGAATAAGGAGAACCTGAAAAAGCCCAGAGAGAGGAACGGCCAAGAGGCCTCATGTAAGACGGGAGGATCTGAAGACATACACAAACCCACAAGGAGAAAATCCTTTGCATGTCACTGATGAAACATGATGGTGGCCGCATCATGCTGGGGGTTGAACCAGCTTCCATCAACAATGGAAGCTGGTTGGAGTTCATGAACGAGCAACATAGATATGACTGGAAATGCATTCCAAAAGACTTGCAGGTGTTATTGGTTCAAATTATGATTCTAATTACTGGTTCTGGGGAACTGAACAAATCAATTAGATTGTTATTTTTAATGAGTAAATAAAAGTTATGTATCCCTCTATTTCCCTTCACTGTAATGTGCTACTTTCTTCTTTGTCAAATGTATAAAGTCCCCATAAAACAATTTGTAGCTGTAGCACTCTTGCAAGTGATCATAAATTCACATAAAGTCTCGGATTTATGTTAATGTTCGATATATTTCTATTAGTTTAAAAAAGAAATTCCAACATTTTTGTTGAAGCGTGTTTCATGTGCTTGTTGTTGTTCCTTTAAAATGAGGAGCATAAACAAGCTGTCTCTGCAAAGGGCCTCTTAAGATATTATGCCTTTTGTGATTTTCCTTGTTGGTTTTTGTAGGGTAAACAAAAAAAGTGGTAATTTTCTGGAATTTTGCATGAATAATTTATTCATGCAAAATGAATGAACCTAGTTTAGCTTCTAGGTTATGAAGCTAAACTGTTTTTAGCTTCATCATTGAGAAGCATGAAAGCTAAACTCTTTTTAGCTTCATAACCCAGAAACAGACCTCTCAATATTTCTCCACAGACTATTATTCCCACTTCCTCTTCTGTTGGTCTTTGCAGACCGTTCA